GACTGTAGTCTCAGCTACTCGGGAGGCTGAGGCAGGAGGATCTCTGAGCCCGGGAGTTTGATGTTGCTGTGAGCTATGATGACACCACTATACTCTAGCTTGCGTGACAGAGCAAGGCCCTGCCTTAAAAAAAAAACATCAGCTATCTCCTTCCTCCTGCCATTTCACAGGTGAGGTGAGGGTGGTTCAATTATCACTTATTTGTGAATACTCTCAGGTTTTTCCTCCAGCCACAATTTCTCCTTTGAACTCCAAAACGAAGCAGCTGCCTATGTAGCCCCTCATCTGGGATGTCCCACAGTATCAGCATCTAACACATATAGAACTGGACTCAGCATCTCTGTCACGCCTGGTCATCCTCCAGGCTTTCCTCTCTTCATGAAAGACATCACCACCCACCCTGCTGCTGGAACCAAAAAGTTGAGAGTCCTCCTTACTCCCTCCTACGGCTTCCCACCACCAATAAAACATCAAGCCCAGTAGTGTCTACCACCCAAACCACAAAATTCAATTCCTTTGGCCTCCCTAGACCAAATGCCCCACGGCTCTAATGGACCTCTGCAAAGGTCTCCTCATTAGTTCCCCCCAATCTGCTCTTTCCTTGTACCAATCCGTTTGCCTCGCTGCAGTTGGAGTGTCATTTTTTAAAATGCTACTTTCTCATTTAACTCCTTTGCTGAAAGACTTCCAGTGGCTCTGTACTTTTAAAAATAATAATTATTATTATTATAGTTAACACTTATGGAAACCTTATTATGTCCTAGGCCCTCTTATAAGGACTTTACACATTTTAACTCATTTAATCTTCACAACTTTAAATATCACCATTATGCAGATAAGGAGACTGAGACTCAGAGAAGCAACTTCAGGGACTTTGCATAAGCTCTTACCCCATCCTTGGCTCACTGACTCGGCTGACTGCTTTCCAAACTTCAGATGTGTTGCCTTGGGGAGCATCCCAGGATCTCCCTTGTTAGGTCAGGCTCCCCGCCCACCATGGCACGAGTCTCAGTTTTCATTATGTAATTATTTAGGGGTATCATTTGGTTGATGTCTGTCACCCCAATAGGCTTTAAATGCTATGTCTGTTTTGCTCATGATTGTCTTCTCAGTGTTCAACCTATAATAAATACTCACTTGATATTCGCTGAATGAATCAATGAAAAGTGTTTTCAATAGGAGAGGGGATGTGGTCAGATTTGCTTCAGGAGTTCTTTCGTGTGGAAGTTTGGAGGTGGTGAGACCAAGTCACCGGCAGGAGCTGACTTCAGGAGTGAGAGGAGGGCAGGCTGGACTGGGGAATGGCCTTAGGGATGGAGAGAATCGGGTGAACCTGGGAAGTGTGGAGGAGGGAGGCCCTGAGGATGAAGTGGATAGAAGTGAGGACCGAGCAGTCAAGAGTGACTCTCAGATTTCCAGGTATACCTTGAACTGGGGTAGGAAGAATCTAGAAGGAAAGAGCCAGGTTGGGCTGCCAGAGCAGGGCACCCCTAGACCAAGTCGACTGAAAGGTGGAACCGTTCTCAAACTCCTTAGCTTGGTCCTGGTGTATTTTATTCAGCTGCATTCCCCAACCTACCGCCCAAACTCTGCTCCTCCCCCAAGCCCCACCTGTCCTCCTTCCTGCCTTCCTAAGTACAGGCCTGCCCCCCACCTCTCCCTCACTCCACGCGACTCAGCTCCAAGGACACCGTCTCTGGGAGCCCTCCCTGCTTCTCCACCCTATCCTCTGCCCCTATGCCATGTCTGGGATTCACTGTACCAGTAGTGTTTCTCTGCTGTCACCCCTGATGATGGTTTTCCTCAATTCTGAATTCCTAGCACCTGGTACAAAGTCTGGATCAAGGTAAACTTCAAAAAAGTTTGTCTTATTGAGTTTTCCCAAGGGCTTTGCTTTATCACATTAACAGTTGAGGCCAGAAATGGGACACTAAATCCTCGTGCCATCACCTAGAGTTTGAACAAGTAAGTCACTTCTCTCAAGCCTCTGTTTCCCTGTCTGTCAAACGCAGATGCTAATACAGCAGACCTACCTCGAAGAGTTGTTTTGAAGGTCAAATGATATGCTCTGTGTTAAGTGTTTACCACAGTGCCTGGAATATGATTAGTTCCCTCAAAAATTAGCTGTTATTTATTTTAAGGAAAAAAATTCTCTCTTTAACGTCAGGAAGGCGCATGAGCTGGAACAGAGGATTGCAGTTCTCAGGATGGCCACGTGAGGGCCCAGATGGTGAGCAACCTCCGTGCAGACTGGCTCGGCAGTGCTAAGGCACCTGCTGAGGACCCAGATGGCCAGGCTGGGGTTTCCGGGGCTTCCCGGTCCTGAACAGGTGGGCGCTGGCCAGGACTCCGCGGGAGAAGCCTCTGCCATGTGCTTGGTCTCGACTCTCAGCCTGGGCAGTCCCTCCTGCGCGTCCTGGTCTCGGCTCTGGGGAGGGGCTGGCGGGCCAGAACAAGCAGAGTGGAGAGCGAGGATTTATCCCCTCAAGTTTGTCATTTGTCTTTCAAACTCGATTATGGTCATTTCTTCTGTATAGAAGTTTCATAGTCAAATGTATTGATGTTTTCTTTTATGGCTTCTAGGTTTCATCATCCTTAGAAAGTCTCCAAGGTTATTGGAACATTCACTCATGTTTTCTTCTGATGCATTATGGTGTTATTATTTAAATATGTGCTCCACCTGGAATTTATTTCAGTGTAGGGTAAGGATACAGCTTTATTCTTCTTTTTTCCTGTCTCTCAAGCTGGAGTGCAGTGATGCAATCATAGCACACTGCAGCCTCCAAATCCTGGGCTCCAGCGATCTTCCCACCTCAACCTCCTGAGTAGCTGGGACTACAGGTGCACACCACCACTTCTGGCTAAACGTTCTATTTTTCGCAGAGATGGGGTCTCACTATGTTGTTCAGGCTGATCTCAAACTCCTGGCCTCTAGCAATCCTCCTGCCTTGGCCTCCCAAAGTGCTAGGATTATAGGCATTAGCCACTGCACCCAGCCAGGACAGAGCTTTCTTCTATTTCCCCAAATGGCTTGCCAGTTATTCCACTCATTTGTTGAAAGGCTTGTCTTTCCCCTCACTCATCTGAAATGCTATCTTTTTCATACATGAATTCCCTTGTGTGGCTGGAACCATTTCTATGCTCCATTTTGTTCCAACCATCTGTCTAGTCCTACTCCAATACCATACTGATTTAAATATATTGACTTTATAATATGTTTTAATATCAGGTAAGCTGAATTCCTTTTCATTATTTTTTGTTTAGAGTTTTATTCCTGCCTGTTTATTCTTCTATACCCAATTAAGAATTAATAGCCCCCCCCATCTCCCACCCAATCTTTCTGGAAGTCAATATTGAACTTTGGAGACCTGGAATTATATGCAAAATGTACGTTTGCACATTTCTCTGGAGAGAAAGTCCAAAGTTTTCATCAGATATTCAAAGGGACCATGATTCCAAAGGGAGCCCCCGGCTTACATGTCTTTGTGAAAGGGGCACAGGAGGAGCACAGAGGGAGCCCGATTCCTCTCCCCTCTCCCACATCCTTGGGCTCCACTCACCGTGTCCTTACCTCCCTCATTGTTCCAGGCGCTTCCCTGGCTTCCATCTTGCCTCCCCCAATCTAATCCCCCTTGCTGCTCCCGAGCAGCAACCATTCTACCACACAGTCCCTAGTTCTAGGCCTAGGCCTGATATAGATCAGATGATAACACAACTTTAATAAGTAAAATGAAGTCACGAGTCTCAGCTCCCCCTCCAGGCACTGTGGGACCCAGTCTAAAGCTGGGTCCACAGTTTTGGGCCTCAGCTTACCCTTCTCATATTCCAGGTGACAAGGATGAAATAGGATGAAGGGTATGTAGAAGACAGAGTTAGCTGTCTCCAGGAGGGTCCTTTAATCCCAATAACTTTCCTTTTTCCCCTCACCTGCCCACTCCTCATTCACATTTTAATTCATGACCTCAGCTACTCATTTTACCTGCCTCTAGCAAATATTAATAATACTGTCTGTCCTCTCTGTAAATGAATGGAATTAAAACACTGGAGCCCAAGAGTAGAATTGACCAGTTCCAACAAAGGTTAAACACATAAGTTGGGGACAGCCATGACCCTAGGAGAGACTTTATACGGTATCCCCCTCGAGTCCCAAGCTGCTGAGGAACCCAGGACTCAGGAAGTCCACTTGGAAGTTCATTTAGGCAGATGCCAGTCACGAGAACAAAGTTTCTCAACCTCAGCACTGTTGACATTTGGAGCTGGACAGTTCTTGGTGTGTGGCTGTCCTGTGCATTGCAGGGATTTAGCAGCATCCCTGGTCTCTTCTCATGAGATGCCAATAGCAACTCCTAGTTGTGAGAACCAAAGAAGTCCCCAGACATCATCAAATGTTCCCTGGGGGGCAAAAATCGCCCCAAGTTGCAAACCACTCCTAGGAGAAGTAGAGGGAACAGGGGAAGGAGGTTAACTTGGGTCTCAGGGTAGGACACTCTCTACTCCCTTATCCTCTGACAGGGACATTTTGAAGTCTTTTTCTTCATAGCAGGCACCTAAGTGTCTTTTCTCTCTGAGCTTCGGTTTTTTCATCTATAAAGTGGACTTAATGTTTGTAAGTCATTTTCCCTTCTCTCACCATCTGACGTTCCTGGATCTAGCCCAGGGTAGGGCAGGGGGCGCCGCGGTGCCAGTGAGATCCTGGGAGGTGCCCCAAAGGGAGGGACAGATGAGAAAGAACAGATAGGGGTGGCGGTGGAGAGGGGGGCCAGGCAGGAGGCAGGAGCATCCCAGGGGCATCGAAAGATTTGAGGCGTCCACAGACCGCCTTCCTTCGAGGCTCACCCCCTTCAAGGGCTCGTTAACATAGATCTCCCCCAACCAGGCGAACCCAGATTGTTTCCCTGGGCCCCGCCCACTACCAGGAGGCGGCCCCATTAGCCCCGCCCTGTCCTTATGGCCCCGCCCCGCAGCAGAGGCCCCGCCCCCACCAGGCCCCGCCTCCCTCTTCGCCTCCCGCCAGCCGGAGCTCGGGCTTTGCACCCGGCGGCGACTGAGAACGGTGTCTGCTGCGGAGCCGGCAGCGCAGGCGGGCGGAGCGGAGCTGCCCGGCCCCGTGGCGGGCGATGCCCCCGTGAGCTTGTCTCGCCGCCCCTCCCCGCCCCGCGTGCCTACCCCACTCGGAGTCCGCGCCCGCCTGGGGCCGGGCCGCGCCTACCGCCGGGTCCGCGGGGCGGGGTCCCGGGGCAGCACCTGCCCCGCCTTGCGGAGCCGCCTCGGCCTGCGGAGTCCCCCCTTCCTGTCTGGACCCCGGCCCCACCTCCGGGTAAGTCAGTAGGCCTTGCTCGCCTGGGAGTGGACGTGGGGAGGGGGCTGCGGAGGTCTGGGGGACCACGGGAGGGGGTTTGGCCGTGAAGCGCAATGTAGGGATGTGAGTGTGCAGGGAGGGTCTGGGGCGCTGGGGGCCCGGGGATGAGCTTAGTGTGTGTGAGGGCTCTGGGGCGAGGGCTGAAATGTGAGAGGGGGACATGGGGTGCGGGGGGAAACCTGGAAAATGGGGTAGGGGCTTCAGAGTCTTGAGTTCTTTGCTTATGCTCAGAGCACCTGGGGCCCTGGTCTTCAACAGCATTGCCTCGCATGGCATTTTGCAAAGTGCTTAGATCCCTCCTGGAAAGGGAGCTGGAAGGCAGCCTGCCTTCTCCCTCCTGCCGGTGCCCTGGTTGAGAAGCGGCCACATTTTCCTCCCAATGTGACACCATTGTGGTGCCCAGAGAACCCCCCACCCATGAAAGAAAAGGGGTGGCGCTCACTCCAGCCTTGGGGGGGGGTAAGAGAGGGGTTTCTGGGAAGCTAGGAAAAGCAGTGGTCAATAGCATCGTGGGGAGCCCAGGGTTCAGGGAGGCTTGGCAAGACCCTTGGTGGGCATTCTCTCATTCATAGGGAGGATATATTCCCTAGCTGGCCTCCTGGCTGCCTGGACCCCATACCTCCATCCCCTCTGGACAACCCAGTCCTCAGGAGTGGGTTTCTTCACAGCGTCCTCGTCCTGAAAGCTCAGGAAGAGCCCGTTGCTCCTGTGGTCCTGGATTGGGTGGGCAATGCCATACCCAAGGCCAGAGAACAAGGGGCACTGGCTGATGCTGCCACCTGGGGGCTGTTTGAATGTGGCCCTTCAGGGGGCTTGGGAACCTGGGAGAATGTCAGTGTCCAACCTGAGACCTAAAGGTGTTGTCTGAGTGTAGGGAAGAAGGCTGCTGCCCCTTTGGTCCTGTCCTCTACCCATGATGACTTCTTACGTCTAGGTCCCTTGGGTTTGGGGCCTGAAGTGGTGGGAGGTCGAGGGTCTTTCTGGGTTGGACCTGGTGATTAAGAGGTTAATCAGCCATCCCCATAGTTGCTGCCAGCCACCAATTAGACTGTAATCAGGCAGCTGCCAACTGTCCCTGGGGGCATATGGGCACCCTAATGGGGAATTCTTTGGCTGGGGAGGGGCGTGTTGGGCAGGGGCCTGCTGGAGAGGGGGCAAGTGCAACCTGTGCTTAAACCAAGCACCATGCCTTTTTAGAGTTTGTTTAGGGCCTAGAGACCCCTTCTCTGGCCTCTCTGTCTGGCTGCCTGGCTTAGGGACTTCCAGCCCTGAGGTTATACGCTTACCTGGCCCTTTGCAGGGTATGAAGCCCAGAGTCAGCTAAACTCGGCCTCAAACCCAGTCTCTGCCACTTCCTGGCTGTGTGGTATTGAGGAAATCACTTCCCTTCTCTGAATCCCTTTCCGTAAAACAAACCTACCTCCTATGTCCCTGGAAGGAGTAAATGAAATGGTGGATTTTAGCTGCTTAGCACAGTGTTTGGCACTCAGGGGAGCTCAGAAGGTAACTGCTGAACTCACAAACCACCCCTGTGCCAAGTACTGCTAGGGCAGGCGTGCAGGAGTCAAGTGCTGAGGACCCAGCAGGGACCGTGGTCCCTTTCCCTCGGGGCATGTGGTCTGTGTCACTGCTTAACTATTCTCTCTCCTTCCCTCCTTGCTCATCGACACTTCTAGTCTCTGGACTTTAATTGGATTTTACTCTGTGGAGCCCAGGCCTGAAGCTGCTACTCTCTGGGCTCCCTGTCTTCCTGCCCAGGTGCTGAACTCTGCAGGGTCTGTCAGGGGTCTGGGTGATGTCTGCAGCTGCAATAGCAGCTGGCCCTTTAAGGAGGGAAGAAAACAATTATCTGGCCTGGGCATTGCATCAGCTGGAGCCTGGAGGGTCCCTGGGGAGGTGGGGGGGGCAGGCTAGTGGTTGATTTCATTAGTGCCATGTGAGAACTCTCACCTGAGTCTGCCCCACTCCCCAGCCGCAGCCTCTGCCTCCTCCCACCCTGGGAGCATCTCCTTGGAGGACTTTCTCTGTGTGCACCCCCATCCCATGTCATGGCCCTTTTGCAGTGTGAGAGACACTTGGCGCTGTGGCAGTGTCCCTCCCGCTAGCATTCTGCTGATTTGGGGTGCAGGGTGCGTCTCCTGTACTGGCATTTTGTTCTCAATGGGGGTGTCTCCTCCATAGTGTTTGGCTGACCTGGGGGTGTTTCTTTCACACTGGCATTTTGTTGACCCAGGGGAGGGGTGACTTTTACACGGGCTCCCACTGACAGAGGGCTGTCTCCTACGCTGGTATATTGCGACAAGACAGGAGAGCTTTGCTGGCTGGGATGTGTGAACCGGCCATGGGTTAGACACAACTGCTCTCTGGCTAGGAATGGTGAGTCACAGGGGTTGTGTGGTCTTAGGCAGAGAAAAGACCAGCTACTTGGGCATCAGACAGACCAGGGTTCAAATCCTGTGTCCTCCACTGCCGACCTGTTACCACTTCAGGCAGGTGACCTCAACTCTGGAGCTTTAGTCTTCTCTGGAAAATAGGAATAATTTATACGCGTGCTATCCCCCACATCAGGAAGGCAGTGAGGGGATTGCGTGTAGTAACTGGATGTACAGCACCCGGTCCAGGGCTGGCAGCGGGAGGGTGCATACTCTATGGGGGTTCTCTTCCCTTTGCAAGTTTGGGCTCTTCACACCTTGAGCTCAAGAAGCCTGGTCAAGAAAAGGAGGGTCCGGGCGTCATGGAGAGAAGGGGAGAAGAATGCATGGCTCTCCTGCCTCTGTAGCAGGATGATGCTTTCAGTCCACTGGGCACCTCCGATGTGCCAAGCTCTGTGAGCCAGGCGGCCCTTGCCCTAGTTGGGACGTGACCCAGAGCAGGTAATTACACATGTGACAAGTGTTGAAAGGAGGGATTCCGGGAGGCTCTGGAGTCTACCACTGGAGGTGTTTTCCTCCCCTCTGGGGTCTGGGAAGGGCTCCTGGAGAAGGTGACATCTTAGCTGAGATGTGAAGGGTGCTAGGAAGTTGAAGAGGCAAAGAAGGGGAGAGGGAGGCGGACAGTGTGTCTAAGGCCCTGGTGATGGTGGGGGGAGAGCAGAGCCCCGGGACAGCCAGGCCTGACCTGGGGGTCTAGCAGGGTACTAAGGACTTGGGAATTTCTCTTGAGGCCCATGGCAGCCGCTAGAGCATTTTAAGCAGAGGGAGCAGAGTCAAATTTCTAAAGTGTGGGCTGGAGTCTATGGCAGAGCCTTCTTGAGAGTGACCCTTTGCCGTCTCCTACACCCTTTCCCTGTGTGACAGCCTTGGCCCCAGGGAGCCGGTTGTTTACGCAGCTTGCCCCAGGAGGAGGGGGCCAGTCCCAGTCCCTCCAGCTCCCTCTCTCTGGGCCCAGCGGCAGCACAGCCTTGTTGACAAAGCTCAGCCCCTGGGGCCAGGTTGCCAGAGGGCAAGAGGCAAGGCTTTGGCACCAGGCTGGCCTGTATTCATGTCCCAGCTCTGCAGTTCATGTGTCTTCAACTGTGACATGGAGTCGATGCTATCTCTCTATGGGAAGGAGAAAGTGAAATTCTAGATGGAAATCATAAAGCCCCATCTCAACGTCAGTTGGCATTTTTGCTCTGTTGCATTGCGGCTGGCACCTACTCTGGGCCAGGCCCACGGTTGGCTGGGGTGGGCTGGTTTCAAGAGTTCTGTGGCCACACAGGGCCATGTGGCTAGGACCCTACACTTGGTTTAATGTTTTGCTATCACCGTCTTAAAATTCTTAGTGATTTTGAACAAGGTGCCCTGCATATTATATAGCCCCATAAGTCGGCAGGGGTAGGAAGAGGCAGGGAGAGATGCAGACCTGCAAATAGTTCCTAAGTGGAGGATGCTTAGGTGGAGGGCATGACTAACTGTCCCAAGGTGGGCGGGATGTTAATAATAGTAACATTTATTTAGTGCTTACTGTGTGCTAGTTCTCTGCTAATCACTTTACAGGCTCATCTTCAAGCAGCCCTAGGAGGTAGGTACTATTATTATCTCCATTGTATAGATGAAGAAACTGAGGTTAAGTTGTTTCCAGAGTCACACAGCTATCAAGTGGTGGAGCTGGGATTCAAAGCTGGGTTGTCCAACAGCAGAGCACAGGCCAGTACCAGGGATGTCATCATCTAGGAGGAGCAGCCACCTGAACCGGGTCTGAAGGATAAGCTGGAGTTTGCCCAGGGGGAGGAAAAGGCAGTGGGAAGTGTGTGGAGCTTGGCCAGGAGGAGAGCCAAAGCCAGATGCTTTTCAAGCTAAGAGAAGGTAACCCTTGGATTTCATGATTCCAATTTTCCAAGCTCAGAGCCCCTGGTCACTCTGCCCCAAGGTCCCTGCTACTATGGCTCCTCAAAGCTGCCCCACGTGGCTTCTCCCTGTATTTTCCCCTCCCAACCCCTCCCCCCAGGTAATCTCCTTTACTCTCTTGACTTTATCTGTGCTGAGCTCAAGACCTTCAGAGCTAACTGCTTTCTGGACTACATTTAGATGCGTCACAGACAATCAGCCTCAGCTCCAAACCCAGGTCCCCTGCTCCCTGCCTGCACCTGCTCTGCCTTTAGCGGCCCCAGCTTATCTGGTGCCATCATCCACCCACTTGCTCAAGCTGGAAAGCTGGAAGTTCTCCTGGACACCTCCCTCGTCCTCACCCCCACATCCCACAGCCAATCCTCAGCGAGCCCCGTTAGCTCTCCCGAATCCTTGTTTCCAGCCCCTGGGCTCTTTTGCTGCCCACTGCCCTGCTCTAGGCCACCAGGGCTCTCACTTGGGCTACCGTGACAGCCTCTTCCCTGGTCTCCTGACATTTCTGTTTTTGCCCCACCTCATTTTATTTTTTACACTGTAGCCAGAGTGATCTTCTTTAGATAAATGTTTGTATGTCATTTGCCTGCTTAGGACCCTTCCAAGACTTCTTGGAATCAAAGGCAGACTCACTGA